CCCCCCCCCGGGTGTGGATAGCTGCCTGATGACTTCCTACTTGCAACACACCATCTCCTATGTGTGAACGGCTGCATAGCGACATCCTTCCTGCAACAACCTCCCCTAGGTGTGAACTGCTGCATGGTGACTTCCTTATGATGCCCCATCCCTTAACAATGAACTCCTTCTTAGTGACTCCCTTTCCAAGGAAAGGAAAGACTAACTTCAGAGCGGAGACACCCACTCTCTCAGCACACCCACTCTCTCAGCCAGATGATGAAGTCTGTACTTCTGCGGTTGTCCTCTCAAACTTTTGGGACTCTGTCTAGCCACAAGAAAAACACCAGGAAATCCCAAACTGGAGGATCCTTAAATTGCCTGAATGTCAAAGTAGTGAAAAATAAGGAGAGTCTAAGAAATGGTCACTGTCTAGAGGAAACTCCAGAGACAGGATGACCAAAGCTGGCTCTGAATAGGATCTTCAGGGAAAAATTAAAGTTTTGTAAGTCAGTGTGGACTTTAGCTACTGGTAGCACAGTGTGACAGGCAGCCAGCTGCCCTGGTGCGAGATACATAGTGGACTATCTTGCTGACTTTCCTGCAAACTTAAAACTGTTATAAAAGCAAATTGTATTTTTAAGAAAAGTTTACCCTGACGTGATCATTATACAGTATATAACTACACCAGACATGCACTGTCCCCCCTAAATGTGTAAAGCCACACGACAAAGTTAAAACACAAGTGATACAAAAAGACCAATCCTAGACCTGCTAATGTTACCAGGAAAGAACTCCTCTGCCTGGAGGGACATCTTAGTGGAGAAAGTATTGCTAGGCAAGTATGAGGACAAAAGTTGAGAAGTCCAGAACCCACATAAAAGCCAGGTGGAAGTGGTAGTCACCTGTAAGCCCAGCACAGGGAAGACAGATTCCCCAGAGCAAGCTGGCTAGCTACACTAGCAAACTCGCTCCAGATTCAGCAAGAAATCTTGTGCCTTCATTATTGTTTCTATTGCTGTGATAGCACACCATGACCAAAAGCAACTTTGGGAGAAAAGGGTTTATTTTAGCTTATAGTTCCACATCACAGTCCAGGACTGTGGGAGGTTGGGAGAGGACTCTAGAGGCAGGAACTGATGCAGAGGTCATGCAGGGGGGGCTACTCACTAACTTTCTCCCATATGGATTTCTCAGTCTGCTTTATAAGAACACCAAGGACCACCAGCCCAGGGCCAGCACTGCCCACAGTAAGCTGGGCCCTTCCACATCAATCAACAATCAAGAAAACACACCATAATGGGTTAATCTGTGGGGGGGGGCATTTTCTCAACCAAGGTTCCCTCTTCCCAAATGACTAGAGTTTCTATCAAGTTGACATAAAAGTGCCCTGACACCCTGCCTTGGTACATAAGGTGGACAGTGATCAAGGAAGATACGAGATGTCAACCTTGGGCCTCTGTCTGCACGTGTACACACTTGCACCACCCACACCACCTCCATCACACGTACACATGCAGAAAATAATTTCTCCAGGGGCTGAATGTAATCATCCCTAAAGAGTATGAGCTACTTTCCCAGCTGCTGTCGCTGCCTGCACAAGATTAACACAAGATCAAGCCAGTCTGCATTCTACGCAGGAGGAAGGAGGGGCTTGCCAGCCTCCACCCCTGACAGTGATGACTTCTAGGGCAGAGAACCAGTTTTCCTAAAGGGTGTGACCCCTGATACTTCGTTGTATGACCCACACCCAGGAGTGTATGAGCAGCACAAATTGAACTCAGTGGGTTTTTAAGAAATACAGTATAAAGTTGGGAGGGGTGGGAAGGTGGGGATAGATATTGGAGAGGTTAGGGGAAAGAATGGGGAACGAATATGATCAAAATATAAGGAATTCTCAAAGAATTAATAAAACTAGCATAGTAAGAGAGTAAACTGCAGCTAGATGGTGGTGCACGCCTTTAGTACCAGCACTTGGGAGGCAGAGGCAGGCAGATGTCTGTGAGTTCGAGGCCAGCCTGATCTACATGACTTAGTTCCAGGACAGCCAGGACTGTTACACAGAGAAACTCTGTCTCGAAATAATCAGAGAGAGAGTGAGAGAGAGAGAGAGAGAGAGAGAGAGAGAGCGCAAACTGCTACTTGGTGGCACCCTTCCTATAAAATCCATGTGGAATTTTGATTTAGTATATCTGTTATGGTATCCATGCCCACCACATAGTAAGTGGTCAATAAACATCTCCTAAATTAATGAGCAAATAAAATATTTTAGATAGGTCAAAGCTACACTGATGTTGCAGAATCTGAATAGGGGAGAAACAGAGCCAGAGAAAGCCAGCTTTGAGTTGAAATATAGACTGTGGTTTATCTGTACTGACTACAGACTCTCTGGGGAAACTCAGATGGCTTTTTCCAAGAGTCTAACATCCACGACGGCTTCCAGCCAGTCAGGCAGCCTGGGTTTCAGCTTTGCCTCACCCCCTAGCTAATGTGTACAATTTCTGAACAAGCTCTGTCCCTTCTCCAGGCCTCACTGGATCGGATGACATCCAGAGTTAGAGAGATCTGTGACACAGCAAGATGCCCTGCGGCTTCCCAGTACTTCTCCTGTGTGCATGTTGGCTCTGGTCCTCTGCTCAGTTGTAGGTTTGAACCTTAGAGTCACTTCCCCATGCTCTGTTTTCTGAGTTATTTACTCATTTACAGTACTTTGATTTCTGCAATTTTGGCTTATGAAGACGTTTGCTCAATAGGAATCTCAAAATGCATTTGATTGTGCCAGTTCTGAGAATTCAAAGCAGATGTGGTGCAAGTATCCTTGTTGAGGATTTCAAAACTAAATAAAAACCACAAATGGGAAAAATTAAGAGCCTATGTGGTCTCAATCTTATAAAAAGGCTGTGGAGAATTGTTGGGAGTGACTTCTGAGAGCAGTGATTCTTACTTGACCATACTTTCTGCATTCAATCAAGCAGTTCATCTTTTTACAATGATGCAGCTTAAAAAAAAACAACTCTTGTTTCTGACAGATTTGATTAGTGTAGACGTTCAAGCTGCATACTGAACCCTAAAACACTATTTTCCCTACTTTTTTGCATTATAGAATCCATCTCACTGTTAAAACCCCTCAAGTATGCCAGGTAGTGGTAGCACGTGCCTTTAATCCTAGCAGGCAGAGGCAGGTGGCTCTTTGTGAGTTCAAGGCCAGCCTGGTCTACAGACAGGACAGCCAGGGTTACACAGAGAAACCCTGTCTCAAACAAAATAATAAACAAAAAGAAACTGAGTAAGAAGCCTGCCATGTATCAAAAAACTACAACTCTATCTCCAAATACAGGCCTTTGCAGTGGGGTACAGCCGCTGTTTGGACATTCATATTTCCTTGCTTTGAAAAGAGGAACATCTCTTTTAACAAATGTTTTCCAGGGCTGGAGAGATGCCGGCAAAGAGTTTGCCATGCAAGCATGAGGACCTGCGTCTGAGCTCCAGACTCACATTTAAAAAGCCTGCCACTTCCAGGCATAGTAGCACCTGTCTCTAATCACAGTACTTAGGAGACAGAGGCATCAGAGGTCAGCCTGATCTACAAAGGCGATGTGGGATGTCCTTCTGTATATGTGAGACTTTTATTGGCTGATAAATTAAGCTGATTTTGCCAATGGAAAGATAGAATAGAGCTAGGTGGGAAATCCAAACAGAGATATGGAGGAGAAGGCGGAGTCAGGAGACACCAAGTAGCCACCCAAGGAAAAAAATGTCTGAGCATTACCAAAAAGTCACAGCCTCATGGTGCTACACAGATCAATAGAAATGGGTTAATTTATATGTAGAGCTAGCTAATAAAAAGTCTGAGCTATTGACCAAACAATAGTAATTGATATTAAGCCTCAGAGTGGTTAATCAGGAAAAGGAGGGTGGGACAGAAAGCCTCCAGCTATATCTGCGCCAACGTGAGGCACATACATTCACATGACCTGTGAAAGTTTAAAAAAAAGGGGGTGGGTTCTGGAGTTCATGGACAGAGCTAAGAATAGCTTCCTGGTTTTGTTTCTTGTGCAGGCTGTGATGCACAGATGCCACAGTATTCAAGCCTAAGCACAGCATTGCAGATTCCTGCTAATGGGCCAAGCAGTTTTATAACTTATGGAGATCTCTGTGTGATTTTCTTTGGGGCTTGCTGGCTGTGGGGAACTGGGCAGGACATAAACCCCAACAAGCAGGTCCCCTCATGTTACAGGATGGTCCTTAATGATTCCTGCTTCATAGGAAAAACTACCAGACACTCTGCAGAACACAGAAGAAAGCAACTGATGAACTTTGCCAGTACAAGATAGAACAGATGTTCAAATTTACTGCTTCATTAATAAATCTGAAATATACTATGGGCCTATAGGCTGAAGTTGAATGCCCCAACATTACAGAAGAACTTTAGGTGACTCTCCAGGCAGCTAGATGTCATTTCTAGAGTTTTGGAAGTTGTTTACAATGCACTTCCTGTTTAGTTAGGTAATATTATATCCTTCTGGGGTCTTTGATGGAGTTAAAGACTAGACAGTTATATACTTTCCCTTATTAATGACAAAAGATAAATAGGTATGAAACTTTAGACTCACAAAGATAAGATAGATGATAGAGTATTTTCCTTTGTTTTGCCTAATACAAATAGACTAAATGTTGTAGCTGTAATTCTTGCTTGGTAACTGTTTTTGTTATATGTAGTTTTACTATGTTAAAGTTAAAACCTTCCTTTTTAATTAAACAGAAAAGGGAAGATGGTGTAGGATGTCCTTCTGTATATGTGTTGTTTTTATTGACTGATAAACAAATCCGATTTGGCCGATGGCAAGATTGAATAGAGCCAGGCAGAAAATCCAAAAATGGAGGAGAGAGAAAAATCAGGGGGACTCCATGTAGCTGCCAAAGAAGAAAGATGTCCAAGCATTACCAATAAGCCATAGCCTCATGGCACTACAAGGATCAATAGAAATGGGGTTAATTTATATGTAGATCTAGGCAGTAAGAGGTCTGAGCCATTGGTCAAACAATTGTAATTGATATTAAGCCTCAGAATGGTTAATCAGAAACAGGTTTCTGGGTGGGACAGAAAGCCTCAGCTACACATAGGCAGTCCCAGGCTAGCCAAGGCTATGTAGTCGGACCTGATTTTATATGTGTGTGTGTGTGTGTGTGTGTGTGTGTGTGTATATGTGTGTGTGTGTATGTGTGTGTGTGTATGTGTGTGTGTGTGTATATACGTGTGTGTGTATGTGTGTGTGTGTATATATATGTGTGTGTGTATGTGTGTGTATATATATGTGTGTGTGTGTATATATGTGTGTGTGTGTATGTATATATATATATATATATATATATATATATATATATATGACAAAAAAGGCATGGTGTCATGTGCTTGCAATCCCTGCATTGTTGAAGTGGAGGCTGAGGACCCTGGGGCTTTCAGTTCAGTCAGCTTAGCCTACTTGGCAAGCTCGAGCAAGAGATCCTGGGCAAAACAAGGTGCACAACTGTCTATTGACTCCAGTTCCAGGAGATCTGCTGCCCTTTGTGGTCTCCACAAGAACTGCACACAGTGATACATGCACAAGCAAATCAGACCATTGTCATGTAAAGGTGCCGCAGTCCTTTCTTGTACCTTCAGCCAGCAGTGAAGCCAGCACAGCTCTCTGAGTGCCGTTGCCTCCAAGAGGATGTGTTTGGGAGCGGATGTTAGGTCCCAAAGAAACTCAAGACAAACAGCTAATTGGGGAGCCTATTAACACATCAGAGTGGACCCTGGCTGCCAGGCTCTGTCTGCACCACAAGACCAGCTACAGAATCCTGGCTCTCAACTCTTCTCATCCCCTACCCCGAAACCCCAGCCCTGAGCTTCCCTTCCCTTCCTCAGCTCCTCTTTTATAGAACCCAGCCCTTTTGGCCCTGTGCTCTTTCCCTCCTCCTGGCCTCCTTCTTGGCGCTCTCAGTCCTCGTGCTCTTGGTTCTCCACTCTTGGCTCCTGGTCCCTCCCCTCACTTGCTCCCCCCTCTCTTCTCTTCCTTGCTTGCTCTCTGCCCTCCCTCCTCTCATGGCCTGGTCTATTCTGCTGGCCGTGTTCAGTCTGGACTCTTCCAGATGCCCCCTCCGTCTGTTCTCTTCTCCTACGCACAATAAGCCTTCTCAACTATCCCTAGAAGCGGTTATGTCCCCATTTTCTCTCAGTGGGTGACATTCACAGCAATCCTGTGTTGGCCTCACACACACAGGGTGACATGGGGCCAGCTAGAAGGTGGCCAGTCTTAAGCCTGAGCAAGCACAAGCTTACAACAGCTTCTCCAGACACAAGGCCCACGCACATCCCCAAGTGATGGTTCCCCGATCGGGACCCTGGAGTTACTCCAGAAGTCATTACTGTTGACACTCAGTATGGCAGATCAGACTCAGGGAGAAGGGCCCCTTAGCAAGGCCATCGGCACCTCTCCTGCTGTGAGGGACAGCACCTACTTCTTCACTAGAAGACTCGGCCCACCCTGACCAGCAGAGAAGAGGGACTTTCTGAGACTGCACGGCAGCCAGCCATCTGAACTAGATGCTGAGTCCAGAGAGTAGCTCGTGACTTGGCGGGGCAGAGCCTCGGATGGGGGCTGGAACACACGCCAGCTGTTACCACAGCTGATCTGGCTGGTGCCCTGCTCAGAAGAGCCTGAAAAATCTTGAACTGTCCGTGTGTGTGTGTGTGTGTGTGTGTGTGTGTGTGTGTGTGTGTGTTTAACAACTGGATTTTGTCCCAGCTGGGAGTTTGTGACAGTTTCCTAAACTTTCCTAAACTGACTTTTACTCTATCAACTTAGTGGCAATGTGTCGCATCATGAAGAGTTGTCACACACTAAGGGGACAGAAATCCAGAAAGACTCAGTAGGGCAAGACAGCCTTCACCTTGCAACGCCTTTGCTGAGGAAGGGACTTGGAAACACTGCCTAGTTTTAGTACATTAGGAAGTTTGACACCCATTTGTCAAGAGAAACAGAAAACTCTGTGATTTCTGTTGAACACAACTCCATGTTCAACGCTATCATCTTTGATTTCTTTCCTCTCATTTGTGACCCAGTTGTCACAGAGATGGTGGTGGCAGGTGGGTGGCTTCCATCTCCAGAGCTCTTGACAGCCATGGTGCTTTCTAATCATTGCAGACGAACCAGCCAGCCCACCTGAGTTCTTGAGACCGGTTCCTTTCATGATTGCCATCTAGGCTCCCCAGGATCCAGTTACACACCAGGTTAAAACAAAGGGAAGGATGGAGCCTCAAGGCTCCCGGGCTAGTGCTGTCCACAGCCAGTTATGATCAAAACAAGGCCAGCCCTGCAAACGCTGCTTGTGTTTTGGTGGCGTCCAGAGAGTCTGCAGTTCCTTTATCAGGAAGAAACTTTGGTCCTGTGACTGCAGAGAAACCGCTGGTAAAGCCTAGGAGGAATGTCCTCCAGCACAAAACAAGGCCACGGAGGCAGGGAATGCAGAAGAATGCAGATAAGGGGGTAAAAGATAGCTTGCTGGAGGCTGCTTAGTGTTCTCTCCAACAGCTAGCTTCGCCATATGTGAACGGCAGCGGGCAGCATAAACAGTGCTTTAATGTGAGCCCAGAGTCATGTGCCTCTGTCTACCTCACCCTCCTTCCCCGGTCCCTACGAGATGCCCTCGATTGTTCTGGCCATAGCAGTGTTTCCTCTTTAACTCTGATTAGCCTCTCAGGCTCCTCTAGGCCACTGTGCCAGAGTGCTCTCCCCCAGAGGCAACCCCTGCTGGCCCGGGAACTCTGTAGCCTCAGCAGGGAGCTTGGTTAGCATGATGTAAGACTTGACAGCAGGCTTGGCTGGTTGCCTTGCCAGCCTTCTCTGGTCCCTTTAATTGTGTTCTGTCCTCTCCTGTTCACACCCCAGCTGTGGTGAGCAGCGTGTAATTTGAGAGATATGCTAAGTGGCCTCTTGGATCCACAGGTTCAGCTCAACCTCTGCCTGGGATCCTTTTCACCTCAGACCCTGCGTAGAAGCCACCTCCCTGCATTCTCCACAAGCTGGTCCCTGTCTTCCCTAAACTACTTCCAACCTTCTCCTGTATGTATACTATGTATATGTGTGAAATACAGAAGGAACTCAATAAAGCACCCACACACTACTTCCTCTGCCTTCCTGCACAGTGGACCCATTAGGGGCAGAGAACGCACAATACTTGCTTTGGAAGGCTGCTGTCCAGCGCATCTGCCATACTGTACACTACAGGCATGGGCTACTCTAGTAGAGGGTCTTAAGACACTTTTAGCTACCAGACGACTATTGTGGGCCCAGCACATTGCCAGCTTTGTCGATTATCCTGCCAAGGCCAGCTTGTAGCGATTTGGAGTCTAGAGTCAACGGGACTGCACAATGCCTGGCCTTGCCCTCACGTGAACTGTGTGTCCCTCCCTACTGGAGTCCCAAAGTCTGTGAAATGCAGAGAATGCTGTTACCTAGGGGAATCCAAAGACTAAAGTGATGCACATAAAACCTAAACAAAGACTCAGTTCCAATGCTAGTAAAGAATCGCACAAAACAAATGAAAGAAAACCCCAAGAAAGGACTACTCACAGAAGCCAGCAGCCGTCCATCTTCCTTCATAGCAAGGTACCGGTTTGCACACACTCCCTTGATCGACACAACCCCTCTCTCTTCTGCTTGGAGCTGTAGTTTGACTGTAAGTAACACAGAAAAATTATCTTTATGGCACCAGAAAGTAAAGAGGGAATATGACTATACACGGAATACACACACACACACACACACACACACCACAAACATACACAACACACACCATACCACATAGCACACATACACAAAACACACATAGCATACCACACACACACACATAACACACATAAACAAACACACACCATACCACACACACAAACCAATATACTCTATACATACATAACACACCACACATTAACACACATCACACACACACACATGCCACATACCACACCACAAACATCACACCACACACACATCATACAACACACACACCATACACATCACACATAAATACACA